GAGAGTAGAGAGATCACATGTAGAGCAGAGAAACGTACTTGTTGGAGGATCAAGACCAACAGAAGGCCGACCTGTTTAAAACCACAGAGTTAAAGAAAGATTTGAAACACATGACTTCATTTTAGCACAAACATGAAAACATGAATCCATCCTGGTTTATATCTGATCTTCAGGCTGCTGCTGTGATGTTTGGGGATATTTTTGGGCCTCTTAGTCCCAACTCAGCACGGCTGAAACAGCACAGCCTGCTCAGTGTTGTTACTGAGCATGTCCATCCCTTTATCACCACAGTGTTTCACCCTCTGATGGCTGCTTCCAGCAGGATAACACACCATGTCACAAAGCTCAGATCATCTCAAACTGGCTTCTTGAACATGACAATGAGCTCAGCGTACTCTCAGTCACATGTTGTTGTGTTACAGCCTCAATCAAACACAGATTAAACTGATTTTTCACTTCAACGTTCTCCACACAATACCTGATAAAGCACTGTGAACACTATCCAGATGCTGTGTGTGGAAAGATTAGATTTAAGCAGGTGGTTGTAATGCTATAGCTGATCAGTGTGTGTGTGCAGAGAGAGCTCAGATCTAGAGAAGATAAATGAAGCACTTACTTTTACTTGGAGTAGGAACCACAGCAGAAGGTCCACCTGTTAGAAACACAGAGTTCATCTTTCTCAGTTAACTTCAGTGATTACTTCCTCCATTTGTACAAAACTGCTCAAAGAAGTCCTGCCGGTCAGGTTTCAGAGCTCAGCACAGCACAGAAACAGCTTTAGTGAAGGTTACAAATGATCTTCTATTAATGCCCTCGTGGTACCGTATCACCCATTAGAGCACTTTGCTGTCAGACTGTGGGCTTCCTTTGGTTCCTCCAGTATTTAAAGTAGGACGGTAAAAACAGGCTTCTCTGTACACAAGCTGTCATCACCAACAAAGGCTTTTGCACAAAGTAATAAAATAGTCTCAGTAAGCGTGTTCAACAGTTATTTTACCTGCTGCATGTCGAGAGCAGAGACACTTACTTGTTGGATGAACAACAACAGAAGGTCCACCTGTTAGAAACACAGAGTTAAACGACACCGAACAACATCAAATATTTGAATGAATGAAATTTAAATTTATTTTGGAATCCAGTCTGTTTTCTTTTTTGTAAACACATCTTGAAAAACACATCTATTATTTTATATTTGCTCAAACATATCAAGCATAAATACATCAATCGAACCTTCCAGGTCAGACCTCGTCACAGGCAGTGTTGTTTTATCTTGTTCACACAAATATTTCCCATTTTAAGTATTTCTCTTTTTATCTGAACTGCTCAGAATTTAAATATTCTTAATAAACATTTTGAAATAAAAATAAAATGTAATTCATTTGCCAATTTCTGGTTTGTGAGTATGTGTTCATCTTCATCCATATGTTAGCAGTGTGTGTGATTTGGTGGCCTGGGGCTACATGTAAAGTTTCACTCAGGGCCACCAAACTCCTCCTTACAGAAAAATGATGTACAATTCCACACAGTGACTCCTAGGACCTGAATATACTAATAACCACTTCTGAATTCAAACACAGGTCTAAAGAAATGAAAACAGAAAAGTCTGAAAAATGACAAAAATAAAGTGTCTCACCCCAAACTCTGGTAACGCTCACAGCAGATGCCTCATGAACGACTTCACAGCTGAACGCAGACAGGTCAGACCTTAAAACCTCCACACGGTCTCTCCTCTGGAAGGTGTGGTCTTCATTGGGAAGAACTCCTGAGCTGATCAGGCCGTCGTCTGCAGTCAG